TGACCAGCCATTTTGTGAAAAAATGTTTGGGTCTCCACCTTGTTGCAGTAGGAAATTAAAAATTCCCTCCTTTTGATGCATGACAGCAGCGATCAGTGGTGTGATATAATCATTACGCTCTCTGCATGGGTACAGACCATTAATGTTATTGTTCTGCAATAATTCCCTTAGTCTACTACGGTTATTTTCAATTATACATTGTATTACAGGATGTGTTTTTTCTGGTGGGGCGGTGGAGGTGACTACTGGAAACTGGATAGTCACTGCCATACTTCAGATTACCTGTGGGAAGACATGACCATATTATTGTAGCAAAATTTGGTGCCACTTTAAAATTTAGACAAGCAGCCAAACATCTGTTATTAGAACGTGAACTTAGAGTTTTTCAGCACTTTCAGAAGCTCAAACAAAAATAAATTTACCATCACCCCATTTAAGGGGGTCCAAAGGTGGTACCTAAAATACATTTCCACAGCTTGATACGGTGATACTTGATAGCCCCCATTTTTCATGAGCTGAACTCAAAGAACTGGCTTGAGTGGGCAAATGCTCACATTCGACGGCATCTGGCACTTTGGAGAGGTGTTCTTTTCATGGATGAATCCCGGTTTTCACTGTACAGGGCAGATGGCAGACAGCATGTATGGCATTGTGTGGGTGCTGATGTCAACGTTGTGGATCAAGTGGCCCGTGGTGTTGGGGTTATGGTATGGGCAGGCGTATGTTATGGACAACGAACACAGGTGCATTTTATTAATGGCATTTTGAATGCACAGAGATACCATGACGAGATCCTGAGGCCCATTGTTGTAGCATTCATCCACGACCATCACCTCATTGTTGCAGCATGATAATGCACGGCCCCATGTTGCAAGGATATGTACACAATTCCTGGAAACTGAAAACATCCCAGTCCTTGCATGGCCAGCATACTCACCAGACATGTCATCCACTGAGCATGTTTGGGATGCTCTGTACGTGTACAACAGCGTGTTCCAGTTCCTGCCAATATCCAGCAACGTCGCACAGCCATTGAAGAGGAGTGGACCAACATTCCACAGTCAACAACCTGATCAACTTTATGCCAAGGAGATGTGCTGTACTGCGTGAGGCACACGGTGGTCACACCAGATACTGACTGGTTTTCAGACGACCCTTGAATAAACCAGCACGGTTTAGAAGTTACTGGGACCGCCTCGTCTCAGAGTTGGCATGGTAAGAAGTACTGGGAATTAACCCTTACACCAGCGTCATATCTGCAGATGTCAGTATGTCCTCAGGCACAGACATTATCCTCAATGAAGTGAAGATGTCAACAGCATGTTCAACTGAAATTAAGTTTGCAAATATGCCATATGTGTAGATTCGAATTCCAGTGGGATTCCTTTCTTGCACAAAATCAACAATTGTCCTGCATAACTTCTCAGTGAAGTTCTGATCCCAGCCACTTATGCCATTTGTTTTCTGTGTTATCACATACAGTGTTTGCAGAACAGCTTGACATACATCAGGTCTCTCTTTTGAGGAAAGTCGTTCCAGCAGATGAGGGACTACAGCCACTGCTTGCTCATTTGTTATCTCTTCCATTGTACAGAAAACTGCATTTAAACTAACAACTGCCTGGATTACATGTCCCTGGGGAATGTTAGGAAAGCGACTGACTGCACCACTGATGTAGGAGTTCAGATTTCCATTGTCCTTCAGCCATTTGATACTCTCTTGGATGTATTTTTCCTCAAGTTGTCCAATAACATTAAAGAGTATTTCTATCATGGTCAGGTGGGTCTGAGGATGCTCCCGCAGCATGTGTCTGTCAAAGTTTTTGAAGACTTCTTCAGGTTGTTTCTCTCGCACAGCAATTTCCATATCCACAAAATATCTGATTTTGGAGCAGAAGTCATCTCCATTTGATGCAAGGCGATGAATCATTTGAGATAGTTTTTTATTGTGGTTCCTTTGTTCAGGATGAACTACAGGTGATAATGTTACCAGTGCACCAGCAGAGATGAGTTCTTTCATCACATCACCCCTGTCATTCATGGCAGCAGTTTGAAGTGGTGTGACAGTGAGGATGGGATTCCCTCCGTTTGGATTAGCTTTTGCTTCAAGCAGTTTCCTTACAAAAGTTAAGGGAGTGTTGGGTGATGAGACATAATGCAATGTTGACCAGCCATTTTGTGAAAAAATGTTTGGGTCTCCACCTTGTTGCAGTAGGAAATTAAAAATTCCCTCCTTTTGATGCATGACAGCAGCGATCAGTGGTGTGATATAATCATTACGCTCTCTGCATGGGTACAGACCATTAATGTTATTGTTCTGCAATAATTCCCTTAGTCTACTACGGTTATTTTCAATTATACATTGTATTACAGGATGTGTTTTTTCTGGTGGGGCGGTGGAGGTGACTACTGGAAACTGGATAGTCACTGCCATACTTCAGATTACCTGTGGGAAGACATGACCATATTATTGTAGCAAAATTTGGTGCCACTTTAAAATTTAGACAAGCAGCCAAACATCTGTTATTAGAACGTGAACTTAGAGTTTTTCAGCACTTTCAGAAGCTCAAACAAAAATAAATTTACCATCACCCCATTTAAGGGGGTCCAAAGGTGGTACCTAAAATACATTTCCACAGCTTGATACGGTGATACTTGATACAACTAGATCTGTGATTCACAAACACCTCAGCCAAGTTTTCACATGTATGCAAAAAATCTTGATTCTACAACTTGAACACTCAAATGTACTGTAGTGGCTGAAAAAAGTGGCAAAACGGCAAGAAGTAGAATGTCAGCTGGATACAAATAGTTACACTGGCCCTGTCCTAGGACTGCAGTCATAAAGTAATTAGTCATGACTCAGGAAGGCACAAAGAGCCACACCTCGCACTTACTGTTCAGACTTTGAACTTCCTGTTTCTGACCGGCTGTTACCTGAATTCAAACTGTGCAGAGCTCGGAAATGTCAGAAAATAATTATTGTTCATAATAAGTACAAGGATGAAATCTTGTTTTTGTTGGTAGGTGTTCGTTATGATAATGTTAAATAACCATAAGAATAGATTAGGAAGAAGAGCAAGAATACAAATTATTTAACAATCTAATTTTAAAATAAATAGTACTGTAGACAAATGAACTTACGGTGCTGAAGTGGTGCGTCCACTGTGGGATTAATATTTATCAAAAGTCCACAGCCTGTGTTTTCTTGTCTCCGACTTTGACGCTCTCTCTGACCTTTTTACTTCTGTTATCTTCTGCTTCTGGCTCCTCCTAGACAGCATTTACATATATACAAACGTCGCTGTTGGATAGGTTAAACGAGACTGGGAAGGGATGGATTACCATTCCCCAGGAAATGACAGACATCCCTCACTCACTTTTATTGTTTTAGCTAACTTTTCTCCCTCAAGTCTTTGTAATCATTGGTCTCAGTGTTTAGTCACAATAGTGCAAAATCAACAAGATGTGAGTGCCTTCAGTTATAACCATGTGCAGCTGTAAACTCAAAGATGAACCTGAATCTTTTTGTTTCTCAGGCTCCTGCTTTACTCGACCACTCAGTGCTGTATTCGGCCTGAAGGGAACATCTGGGGACACTAGTCAGGACGGTGAAAGTGTTGTTGGTACAAAGGAGAAAATGAACTGATATTGTATCACAATCCTAATGATCAATAAATGATAAAACAATCATATTCAACTCGTTTATTTTGATATTTGATTAAACTTACAGTATACTTTGAGAGTAACATTCAATATGCTTAAAACAAAGTCATACAAAAGAATCTGCATGTCGTTAAGCTTGCATATTCCATTATGTTTTATTTGCAATGCCATTCACTTAATGAGTAGAAGCACTTTTAGTCCTCTGAGGGTCGGGGTAAAAAGAATTTGGCAAACACCCCCATTTGAATGTCATGGTCTTGCACACTGCAGTAACATTAACCCTTTGTAAAATTAAGTGCAAAGATCCATTCAGATGTGTGTGTGTGTCAGACAGGTAGTAGCATTCAGTCTTGTTTTATGTACATTTTTTAGTTTGTAAGTCAACATTCAGTATTTTCAAACAGTAGAATGACAGACTGAAAAAGCCTCAAACTGAGTAGATATATTTACATAAACATTTTGTTTCCTTCAATTCTGGACAAACAGCTTGTCCTCTGTCTCTGACTTCGGTTGTGAGGAACCATTTTAGTGAGTCTAAAACAAAAAGTTACATCTTCTCAGTAGTCCAACAACCTTTTTTAACTTAGGTTTAAATTCCCTGACATCATCTAAACACAGGTCGTTGCCACTAAATGAATTTAAAAAAAAGCTTGTATCTACTTTGCCACTTATAGTACCTCTGAAATAAAAGCTTATTAAAATGGGGATTTTCTATTCATATATGTTTGTCTGAAAAGGCATTAGCTATATTCAGCCCTGAATATTTCACCTCCTAAAACAACAAACTACTTCTGTATGTTTACTGTACGCGGTAGAATCCATAGCATCTACACATCTACGCTCTAAGAACCGGGACCTCGGCCATGATACTGAAAGGTTTGTGCTTTCAAAATGCTCCCTGTACGGAAAAATCAAAGGCGTGTGATACCTCATCACAGCCAGAGGGAGGCACTGAGGGTCCACCAGAACCCAGAACCCCAGTGCTGGTAAGGCAACATACTGTACATCACCACAGGGTACGAGGAAATGAAGGAAGTGGCCGCCACGCCTGTTACATCTTCAGTTGCCCCAAATGAGACTAAAACAAAAATAGTAATATGATCATTCTCTCAGGTCCTGGTTCATCTTTTGTTAAGTACAAAACATAAGTAAGGGATGTTAAACCAGAATATACACTGTACATCCAAGCAGATCAAATGGTATTTGAGATCTCTCCACCTTCAGAAGTGTCAGCTGGAGTTTTAGGAGAATACCAGTCTCATTTTACAAATGTCCACCATCTTGACTTTGCCCCCATGTGTCAATGTGAAATGGTATCTTTCTGTCTGAGGAGAGGCCAAGATGAAGTCCCTGCAGTCTGTGGAAACCACAGTGAAGGAGCGCGGCGCCTGGATGTACACCTCTGAAGTGCTCAAAGACTTTCTTGTCATCATCCCATAGGTAGATCTGTGAGAAGGTGTAGTCGCTTCCCAGGGCCAGGTAGGAACGTTCTTTGAAAGAGAACGGCTGGAGAATCATGGAGCCTCGTGAGGGCAAGGCCTGGATTTCTGCAAACTGTTTGGCACCCCAGCGTAGAACTTTGGAGTCTCCGATATAGCATGTCATAGCCAGGTACAGTTCCTCCTTGATCCAGAAGTGCTTCACAGTTACCACATCCTCCATGTTGGGGATCTAACCCTGCAGGACAAACTTCTGGCTGCTCCGGCTCCACTGGTAGATGACAGGCACCTGCGAGCGGCTCACCAAAATAAGACGCACCTTCCCATCCAAGTCCAAGAACTCTGCATCGGTGTCACGGTACCACTCATGCAGCAACTGGTATGAATAAAAGCCCTTATCGTTCCATTTATAGAGGGTGGACAGGCCCGCCTTCGAACTGTCAGCGATCACAAAGAACCAGTCAGAACTGATCTGCAATGCCTCAGTGTCGTTAGGCTTGGAGATCTTGGACACCTCAATGTCCTGGAACTTGCTGAACCTGCTCTGGTCCTCATCAAACTTGTAGATGTGGGAACCACCAAAGAGCTGAGCCACGATGACAAACACCTGGCTCTGGATGACAACTGACTTGCACCCCACAATGGACTGACCTGAAGGGCAGGGGACAGTAGATAAACAGGCTGGTAACGTGAGAGGAAAACACAGCCAGGGTACTCTGAGACAGTTAAGGCTTTGTCATACCTGTGATGTTATCATAGGTCCTGAAGTTCATCTCTATGTGGTCCCATTGGAAAACCATACAGCTCTCTGCACTGGGAGCAGCAATAGCCACATAAACATCGTTTTTATAACTGAACGTGTCAGCAGACAGAGACTCGGACATCACAGACTGATGGAGGATGAAATCTGTGGAAAGAGGCACCCTAAATTCAAGTTTTCCACAAACTAACACATTCTTTTAAGGACCCAGCATCATTAAGGGACAAAAGGAGAAACAACACCTCTGCCAGTTAGACTGGAGGCTGGGAAAACTGGCTCAGGTGTTTCTCACCTGTTGAGATGCACTCATTGTGCAGGCTGGTCATATCATTGAGGCGCTTGTCCTTCATGTCCTCCGGTCCAGTGCACACAACTTCTGATACTGTGGCGTTGGTGTTCTTCAACCACATCATCAGCCACGTAGCATGGCAGTCACACTCAAAAGCATTGCCTCGCAGGTCCCTGCTGAGGAGACGTACTGTATGACAAGCTAGAAGCACTTTAGAAGAATAAAAGGAAGAGGCAGAACATATACATGAGACTCAGGGACACAGTTCATGAAGAAGACAGACTGGGTGACAGACTTACAGTTCAATCAGTGAGTCCAGGTCACTGAACAGGTCCCTGGGCAAGGCTTTAATGTTGTTGTTTGCCAAAGACCTAGAAGCAACAGGAGAGAATCAATACAGCAAAAGACATCAGTGTCAGATAATCACAATTTCTTTTCAAGCAAATATGTTGGACAATTAACATGAAAGACTTTGTCCCATTCTTCTGTGTATCTCCATTAATGCTCAGCGCTGTTACCATTAATCCTAGTAAAACTGTTACTACTCGCATTACATCTTCAGAATCACAGATGCTCAACAATAAAAATCACTTTCAGCAAACACATCTTATATTTATTTAAGTCTTTGGTGCATACAGGTGAGTCAGGTCCCTCAGTGTTTTGAAGGCAAATCTGGATGCAGTCTCAATCTTATTACCCTCAATGAACCTGGGAAAGATAAAAGATTCAGTTTGGAGTCACAGATCTCACTCTGTAGAATTGATAATGCACTTTAAGCCTTTTATGAAAATGATGTTGGTGAGCTTTGTGTAGTTTTAGAAAAATAAAACAGTAGAGCAATGAAACCGTGGCCACATTTATGTCTATGGCTCAATTATGTGGAGCTGAAGTCCAACCACATAACCTCATGTCTACAGCAGCGTTCCCAGAAGACTGCTTTGTCATGTTAAAGCCTGCCCTTTTATCCAGATACGTCTGGTAAACTGAATGTGTATTGACAAAGGATTTAGTTATTACTCTACACTAACTCATTGAATGTCTTTATAAAATAATTACAGCTAAAACCTACAGGTACTCCAGATGTGAAAGGCCTGAGAACGCATCATCCCTTATAGTCACCAGAGAGTTGGAGTTCAAAAGCCTGTAATGAAAAACAAAATGTGCATTAACAGATGCAGGCTGCCAACAGCATGTACTGGTTTTTGTTTTGTCTGAAAAACAAATTCCAATTGTAATTTAACCAGCTTAACAATGGCACAAGCAAAACATTAGACAAAATTAAATCAACGCTGAATCCTCCCAGTTAATGCCGACACCGAGCATAGGAACCATACTACACAACAGGTGTTTGGCCCCTCTCATCATTATAGCAAACTGTGTTGCCACAATATCTATACATCAGTATCACAACATAACACAAACACAAGCAACATACAATCTATTGAAAACAGTCAGCTTGATCAGAGGGGATGGTGTGAGACCACCACACAAACAAAACACTACCCCACCACCACAAGGTCTCAATCATCAAGTGTGTCATCACTTTGCTGCCAAGCCTTTGTTTATGCTTACATCACAGTTCTCACTAGTGGAGTACCACAGTAGAATGATGGTAATTGGTATGTACGGTACAATTTCCAGGTGTCCAACCCCTTTCACTGCCTCCCCTGCTAACAGCTTCACCATGCACTAAATACACTTAAAAAGTGCATTAGTAAGGCGCTGCACACAGTTATTTACTGGACATAACGTTTGTGTACTGTAATATCTTTAAAAAATACTTCACACATGCAGATATTATAGTTTATGATTTACTGTGTGTACTACTGAAGCCTTACACTGTCAGATCTCCACACTCTGCTTTTGTATCTTACAACACCCACGTTAAAGATATATAAAATGCTAAGAGTCACTTTTGCAACAGGCTTTGAAACCAATCTGTCTGCATACTTTTGTCCTAATTGGAACCTTTGCTACATGTTAAGAGCCACCCATAGCATCTGATAATACAGAGAATAAGCAGAAGTATTCTTACAGCAGCTGCAGAGATGGCATGTGAGCAAACATCGCTTCTTTGACCTCTGAGAAAGTCCCATTGACGACACTCCTGAAAGAAGAGGCAGAAAAGATGAAGAAGAAATGCTTAAAGTGATCAGAGGAGGCAGAAAGGAGTCAGCACTGCCTTTCAACCTCAGTTCTTATTAAGATGGTGTAGGCTACATTAAAAACATACAACCAAGCCTGTAATGCAGCATTTTGCATGCAGTGTTTAAGCATATGTTGTTAAAAGATCATATAAGTAGGCTGCTCACAGAGAACTGATGTCGTTGGGGGTAATCCTTGGGACGTAGGAGGACCCGACACAAATGACAGACTCCTTGGAGCAGCTGCATGTTGAAGGACATCGGAAACCCTTCTTCAGATGAGCCGGCTGAGACAGGCAGCACAGCGACACAGAAAGTAACGCCCAAATCTTGAGAGCTGGCAGCATCTTTCTTGCCGGGTTTGCATGTGTGAAGTCTGCTGAGCACCGATCGAGGCAGATGGCTCCGCGCGTCTACACCCTGCACCATGAAATGCTGCACTGACTCCCTGACATCAGCAAATCAGCTGCAAGCTCCGCGTCGTCCCCTTTAATTATTTATTAAACCTGAGCTCCAGTTGGGTAACTGTTGGTTAAACCACCATGCGCCATACGTGGGGAAAAGAAGGCGTGATGAGGCTGCATGTGGCCGTCAGCTCCAACGTGTCCGTGTCAGAGGCTGTCGTTTTCAACGAGACGCAGCAAAGCGCGCAGACATGGCTGATTTAGACTGATGTGGCGCTGATTCCAAATGTAGTTGCCACACAACAGTAGCGTTTTAAACGACGCCATACAGATACACATACATATTGTTGCACATTTGGACATGATCTGAGACATATTTGTGTTACAGTATGCCAGTCAGCCGTACAGTGCTGCACCCCGCCTCCATACAGGAGCCGTCAGAGGCGCATAGCTGCAGCACCGTGGACAGCGCCTTCCAGCTGGTGGAGCTTTATCAAGTGGCTACTGTGCAGCCACAGTATGAGTACAGAGACACCTGCACTAACATGGGCTACAGGAGCACATTTATCACGCTGCTACACGTGGAAACTTAGCCTTCCTTCTTGAAAACTTAAGAGTAAAAGCTATTAAAAGTGATTTTGACTTAAAAACAGAAGAGAGCTACAGAGGCTTCCTAAGCAGCACTAAGAAAACCTTATCCTGAAGCATGTGTTAACAAGACAAAAGAAGTGACACTCAGGTCTTATAAGGTTATGAGCAACTAACAGAATAAACACTAATTGCATGAAGCCAAGAAGCTTTGTCCAGGCTAAATCTAAAGAAGACATTTATTGTCAACCTGCACCTAAAGACCTTTGGTTTCAGAATAAAAGAGAAGCAAAGTAGAAACTCCTTCATTTTGGTTGTAACATGCATAACCCACATGTGAACCTTTTCTTTTAAATCATGAGTGAAAACAAAAAGTTGTCAGTGTGGTGAATGATTTCTCAGTTTCGTTTTCATTTCCTATCACACATCGGGCCTACAGTATCCGGTTTTAGTTTGTTCTTTGATACGTCAGGTGCTACTGGAGATCATAGGTTCACAAAGGATCTTTGCACAGGGGGTGCAGACTGTTGCTTGGCTAGTCCTGCAGACCTGCATTTAATAATGGGACTAGTTGAGAAACTTTAAAGTTTACAGTAAGCTCATAATGAGCCCAGGTCCGTACTACTGCATAATTCAGAAGCTGACAAGGCTGATTTCATTGGCATGGTTGCAGCAGCAGGTTGGTTCTTACAATATAAACCAGCCACAGTGATGTCTCTACTTGTGATCCATGACTGTGGAGGTAGTTTGGTACCCGGCTCCTGAACCGTGGCCTCTGTCACTACTGAACTTTACCTGGCAGCTGCTGAGAGTCATTTGTCATGCAACCAATATTCCTGCAGTACTTCAACTTAGGATTGTGTGTGTGAAGAGCAGTTTTAAAGGCGGTCTATTTTGGTGAGGATGGATGAAGGTAAACAGACACAGAGGGAAACCAGAGGCAGCAAGCATCTTCTGTCATTTAAACATAAGAAAACACAATCAATCACCTGATCTTATAAACAAAACATAATACCATGTGCAGTGTTTCTCCATCGTAGCCCAGGTTTGATCAATAAAGGGGGATCACTTAAACCTGTCCAGCACAAAAATTAAATGACATGACTCTGTCTGTCCCCACAGTATCTCTGCAACCTCAGCAAAGATCAAACACAGCAAAATGGTGACAGGTAGGGTTTGAGACTGGACAAGAAGACGTGTTTAACATCTCTGCACATTAAGACGGTGATACATTTGTTCATGTGAACCAAATACTGCAGCTGATGAAGTGCAGCATTACAAAGCAGCTCTTCCATTAAAGCCACTTCTGCTTGTCAGCGTGCTGCGCCGTTCCAGCTCTGCCACAGTGCACGGTGTTTTTCCACCGGAGTTTGTTAAAGGCTCAGTACAGCTGGGGAACGGTGGAAAAAGTGCTGACGCTGCACCCTTATCCAACTCCAGCCCACTTTCAAAAGGCTGCTGGGCGGATTGGTTCTGCTCGTGCTACACATCTATTCTGACTTGCATTTCTAACTGCAGGAGAAAAACCAACACGTGCTCAGTGTGTACACTGCCTTATCCAAGCACACCTGGGCCCAGCACAGAAACACCAAGGTCTGTACTTCCAGTTCTGATCCATACCCAAGTGTTAGAACTCCAGAACATGGTAGCATATACTTTTCACAGATAATCAGCCCTGACAATCTGCAGCAGAGGAAGAGGAGGGCACAGGGAGAACTCAGACAGTGCAGTATCGACATGTAGATTAGTCATCAGCCAGAGAGGCTTTAGTGGGAGTCTTTTTTGGGCCTCGGGGCATTACCTGCTCTGCTTCTTAATGAGCGAGACTGAAGAGCCGGGAATTAAGACAAAAGACCTAAGAAAAACTTCACCTTGTCTGATTCAAGATAAACTCCCTGCTGTGGTTCCTACTGAAATCCAAATTCATCTTCCATTGTTTAACAGTACAATACAGTATGAACGTTAACAGCTGCACAGACGCCAACATTTTCCACACTTAACACACAAGTTATCTGTGTTTGATGTACTGCACTGAATAGCTGTTACTCACTATCGAGCCTGAGAAAACAGGAGCTCATCCAACACGCAGGCTTCAAATTGAGTTAACGGATCAACAGCAGTCGTATCACGTTACGGTACACTGCAGAGGATGGCACAACATACTACACTATAAAGCTGTATCATTTCATATATCAGGGAATGAAAAACAGTCCTGATGTCTTCTCAAAACAGAATGAAACAGACTGTCTGGTATTAGCAAAGAAAAGATGAACCACAGATGATTTCAAACTGAAAGACTGGCTACCTTATAGAATACTGTATCCAGTAAAGAGGCTACGTGAGGCTTTCATTAGGAAAAATGACACGCGAGGAGTAAAGAATGTTGTAAATGAGAGATCCATAATCTAGTTTTAATTCCACTCATCCAAGTCCAGTTACCATTAAGCAGCACTTCTGGAAATTAAGTAAAGCAGCGTTGCAGATGCTTGGATCCAACTTAGATCAGTGGCTTGTATGCAACATCTGGTCCTGAGATGCATTTGCTCTTTCAGTACCTACTAATTAGCACACCTTCACAGAGCAGGGCATTAATCAGCAACACCAGCCTGTGTCCTTGTTGTGTTTAATGACCACCTGCACACAGTTTCATCACCAGCTGTCGGTGCTGAGTGAAACTCTGAGTCTCTTAGTGTCGGGACTGATAATCTGACAGCAAGTACCATTCAAAGCAGTTTGTATAAAATGAAAATGAAGTGCAGGCAGCAGAGAGCTCAGGCTAAACAGAATTCACTTTGCCGACTGAAATGTTCCTATTTGAGTCATTCTCCAGGAGCGTCCTCCTGGCTCGCTGGGGGCACCGGGGAACCACCTGTAACCGCACTTTGCTCTTTCTTCAGAGTCTTCAAGCATTTGTCGAGCCGTTTCATGCACAGAGTGACGTCTTCCCGAGTGATGCCCACAGCTGAGGCGGTGTTGAGGTAGGGGCAGGGGTACGCCTCAGAGTGCGACATGAAGCCGTGGAACGTGTACCCGCTGATGACCTGCTCCTTGCCCAGAGGCACTACCCTGGAAACATGGATGAAACACAAGGATGATGTAGTAGGGTACAATAATTACTACGCAATATGTCAGTGGGGAAAATCAGAATTAATTACTTTTTAGAACTGGAAGTAATTATATTTTATGATCTGGCTAAAACTTGGACAATGGACTTGACTAGTGTTATTTAAACAAAATGATTTGGCCTTTATGGAGAGCGGAGAGATCATCTGGAATGAATTCATTCAGTTAGTGGCTGTAGGAATATTCACCAGGGAAGTCAAATGACCTCACTGTTTGTATTTTTTACTCAATGTAACAATGCAAAACTAAGCATCAGCATGCACAGCCCACAGCTCTCTTTGCCCAAAACCACATCGGGAAAGTTTAATGTGCTACTTTGTTCAGTTATACGGAGAATGCTACTGTAAATGTTGCTATACAATACACATTGCATTACAAATACTGTGTTTGGAGGACGTGAGCACTGAAGTTGAAAGCAGTGAACACAACACAGACACGGGCCTTTTCAATCCGATATGGTGACTTGTTACACACTGAGCAGACAACATCAGCATTCATCTGGAGTCACGTCTCTGGCCACCAGATGAAGGCGCTCCCCTCTACTGAGTCCTAAGGGAAATGACTTCAGCTGCTAAACGCTGCACTGTGTTCACTGTCTCTGTTACTTGATGCTTTCTGCTACAATCAGCTGCCTGATCTGAACCAAATATGTGAAACTGCTGACCTACAAACTAAGACACGAGCTATAAAGCTCAGTTAAAATACGGATTATAGCTGCTTTACTCAGCAGGTTTCGTTAATAAACCTCTGTTCAGCCTAATGGATACAACTCCACTGGTAGTAAGCCAGTGGCAGTTCTGTCAAAGGCTTCAAAACCGTGTGTTTACTGTGCCAAACAAGTTCCATGATTCTAGTGGCCAAGTCGGATCCTGCTCGTCTTCTTTCCAAGATTAAAAGCTTCAGTCAGCAAAGAAAATTCCAAACTTGCCAGTTTTTTAAAAAGCAGAAAGGAGCAATATGATGCAGTTCATCAACACACTGTAACTTCATCACATCAAAATCTACAACACTGTAAACAGTAGGGTCGCCTGTAAAGTTTGGCACCATTTCACCGCTGTCAGCAGTGTTCAGACTCCCACTAATGTGAAATCAATTACTGGCCAGCTATTAGGACCACGTGTATGACACAGACCATTATGGTGGAGAAATGCATTGTAATAGGATGTACAGCACGTCTCCATTAATTGGTTTTGCTGGATAAGAGAAGAGCTCCTTGTTGTACAAGAAACCAGCTCCCTCTTCCTCACTTCACCTCACAAATGTGAATCATGTGCTGCTACAAATTATAAAGACCTCAGCATAAACCTCAGAAGACAATGTCTCTCATTAAGGATTCCAGGGAGATAGAAGGCTAAGAGATGTGATTGACCGCCACAGACTGACCTTGGGAACAAGTCAAACGAGGAGAGAACCAACAAAGAAGTGTGGAGGCCATTCTGATGATGCTTTACAATGCAACTGAGCCACGAACAACACAAAACAATCATGACAGAATGACCCAAACAAATCATTAAGTCAGGATATTTTAAAGATTCAGATGCTGTCATGCTTGGTCAGAAACTACTGAAAGGAAAAATAAAAACTAAAGGTAGACCCTTAGTCCAGCATCTCTGCAGCTGAGTGATGGAGGCAGAAAGCAGTTACAGAGATCCTTCCCCCTACTTACAATATAAGGACAAACACCTGCATTGGGAGCAAGAACATGGCTGTCAAAGCAGTTTGTGCCCGTTGTCCCACTGTGGACAGATCATAATGCAACCATCCTGTTAAATTATGAGGTGACCTTGATGGGATGGGCAGCCCAATCATCTAAAGTAGTTTCTGCTCGTCCTTATTCAGCAGATCCATCTGCATGATTGCTGGTTTTGTTTGGCAACACACCATTCATCCCCTTATTTTAGTGACACAGGAGCTCACTCCGTCTTTCCAAGCTGTGTCCCTGTCCATGACACACACACACTTCCACACCCTCTTGTTTTCCCTCCCCATGTTTCTACTCCCAGGCCAGGCTGTAGCCTGTTAAAGTCATCATACCTGGCTCCTGACACTTGCCGGGTGAACAGCATTGAGCCCAGCTGTGTCACTGCCTTCTCACTCTGGGCCTGGAGACCATCCAGAGACATGGCTGTGGGAGAGAGGCGCCACATCCCAGATTCCAAGGTGAAAGAAACGTACAAGGTCAGAAATACAGCACCAAATAATCCAAAACAAACCATCACATGTGGCAAAAACACTGCATGAAGTCTATGCTGTGCTGGTCGGAAACCAGGAAATTAAGCTTACCAAGTGAAATGGGGTTATGTGGGGTGTGAAGCAATCTCTCCCCATGTGCAGAGGCCAGAGTCTTCAGCTCCTGAGCCAGGAACGAATAAATCTCCTTCAGGCCATGCAGACAGAGAGAACAAACATGGAGAGACATAACGAGGGAGGCGAGGCTGCACAAAGGGGCTATAAATAGCAGCACAACACTCCTGTCACACACTGCCACAGCCTTACTTTAGCAGCTGCAGCTTCGGGTTTTATTGCTAATCAAGCAAATCGACCCACAGGCGGGCCGGCCCCTGCTCAAACCCTCCCTTCCCCCTCTCTTTCCCCTGCCTGCCTGTGTGCGTTTCCCTCCAAGCTTCAGCACAAGCAGTGTATCCACTTCCACTCCACCTCTGGCCAGGATCTTTGCACACATCACACATCCACCTCCGGGATTAATTAGAGAGGCAGAAGAGGAGGACCACCTGCTCCTAACCTGAGACTTTAACACTGCCATGTTAACAATATGCTGACAAAGTGTGTTTAGTCCTGGTGGACATTTGAACACAGCTGCTGTGAGCCCAGGTCAGGTGGGGATGCTGCACAACAACAAATCGCAGTGTTTTTGTAGCTGGTTTTTGGTGCCAGATTCCCCAGTGAAGCACCGTACAGTGAAGGACCTGCTCTCTGCAACAGTGGACACGTGTCAGTGTCCTCTGCTGACTCATATAGCACATTTATCACGCTGCTCAGGAGGTAGAGCGGGTCATTTCCTAACCGGAGGATTAGCGGTTCGATTCCCGGCTTGTCCAGTCAACATGTCGAGGTGTCCTTGAGCAAGACACTGAACCCCCAGTTGCTCCCGGTGATGTCACCGGTGTGTGAGTGTTTGGGAGTGCGAATGGGTGAATGGCCGAATAATGTGAAAGCGCTCTGAGTGTGCTGTAAAAGCATAGAAAGGCGATATACAAGTATAAGACCATTTAATTTGAAAGCATCAAGAAGAAAGATATTTTCTCTAACATAAGTCAAACACAAACACCCTGTCAGTGGTGTCAAGTGGCTCAAAGTGTCCCTTGTTCCCTAACAACAAAGGACCACTTTATTATCCTAAAAGGAGCAGTGCTAGTGGTAGAGAGAGTGCATGGCTTCGACTCTGCAGACAATAAGAGTGTGTTTGTGTGTGTGTGATGACAAAATCCCATCCTTACCAAAACACACATCATCTGCTGGTTCTTTTCAATATCTAGACCTTTTATAAAATGTTACATGAGGCTGTAAAGGAACCTCAACAGATGAAATTATTTACAGCTTGTGAGCCCAAGGGAGGTTAGGGTGGGGGGGGAATCATTCAGCTCTGCAGACACTATGGGAAACTGGGCCTGGATATTAATTATGCATGATGTCAGAAATCAATAAGCTATGATGGTGTGTGTGTGGCCATGCGAGAGGCCAGAGGAATTTCCTAGTTAGATACTTCTGGCATTTTGGGTGTTGTGTGTCATCACCTAGGAGTGTCACTAACTTGTGATTACAATGCACCTCCATTTGGGGTCACTTCTAACAAATTCCCACCTTCAGCTTCTTAAAAAAAGAGCAACTTCTCTGTGACTCTTCCAGGAGTCTGCACATCAAGAGAAACAGACAGAGCTGAGCACATTCACAGTACATTTATTGTGCAGCAGTGAGAGTGCTGCACTGCAACAGTGGTGCCAAGGGATGTTTCTGAAATTTCTAGATCAATTTATCTTGCTATAGCGCACACGCTAAATACACTGCCCTCAGTCTGACTGCGGGTAAAACTAAAGGGCTACACGCACACAGTCATAAAATGCATGCACAACAATTAATAAAACCGATGTAAGCTGTTCTTTGCTGTCTTCTGGGGAAAGCTGTTGACACAGCACGTGCACCAACATATTCACAAAGCTACATATGCATCACTGACATTGCTGCAGTGGGTTTATGCCAAACCACACTGCTCTTGTCAAACCAGCTGAGAGCCCCAAGCAGGTGTCACACCCTAAATCAAGTGTGTGTGTATCTTTAGCCTTGTAATGGTGACGTGTGTGTGCGCTCACCTTTCGTTCTGACAAGAGTTTCTTGTAGCCGTTGGCTCCCAGAGTGAGAAGCGTAATGAGGACGTCGAGGGAGGGTGAGGCCGATGCTCGACCTGAACACAGAAGGCCAAGCAGTGGCTAGTTAGGGCAGACAGACAAGACGCAGTCTGCTAATTATAGATGTTAATATCAACTCCCCCCGTGGCAGAACCGTGACCTGTCCAGGGTGGATCCCGCCTCTCACCCAGTGTCAGCTGGGATTGGCTCCAGCCCCCCGTGACCCTGGATGGACGGAATATCAACTCCTAACCTGAATGTTTCATCAACGCTAAAACAAGCATCACTACTTTATAGGCTGTGAAGGTGAAGCACCTGGTGTATGACTGTGGCAGTCTTCCCTGAGTTCACTGTGTGATGACTCCTACACAGAAATGATGGCATTCTGCATTCTACAGTCTGACAGAGTTCTTTTCAAGAAGCGATTCTCCAGGACACTGCTGACATAAGGCTGGTACAGTGTGTCAGATGGAGATCTCTCTGTGACGTCTCCTTTAAACCATGTGTGCTAATCTGTGTTTCTCTAATTAGAGGACGACGCCAGCTGTTGACTGCAGGGCTCATCCAAATCCCGTCTTCTGGCTCACACAGACCGCTCTATTACTGCAACAACTACAACAGCATGATCAGTTTCAGGCTTGTTAAACCTTTATTCTATTTGTGAAAACACACAAAAAGTGCAGCTTTGCTGTTTGTTCCCGTCCAAACCACATCGGCCCCGGTCTGGATCAAAAACCACTACACCTAGACCTGTCTAATCTGGACTAGGTTAACAGGGAGATTATACAGACTGATACAAACACTTTCACATTTATGAAACCTTTATTCTATTAGTGACCAAAGAAGAGTCCTGCATGTGGAGGAGCATTAAATTATAAACATGTTTAAAAGTAAAGCTAATTACCAGCTGACAGTCACTACAGTGTTTGCATCTGAAGGATCAATACACTTCAATGTCTTTGTTTTCTGCCACTAGTCTGGCTCCATTGTTGTCCACAGACATTTAAATTATCATCACTGAGACACACGCAGTAGTTTACTTTGAGTCAATCCCACACACACTGTCCTGCTGCTACACACCAGAAAAGACAGCGGAGACAGACGTACACACACCCAAGTCTGTATAAACATGCATATGCAAAAACATATACACATAAATACACATGCACTCACCTGGGTACATCTGGCTTATCTCCTGTATGAAGGACTCATCAAAGCCTGCGATAATGGCGCCACCTACTGGGACCATAAAGTTCTTGTCCAAGCTTTGTACAAAGGCATCAATTCTCCCCACACGGGCCCCCTGATCAAACACAGTCCAGGAAAGATTGCACAAAGTCTTTAGACCCTTTTATGTTTTTACACTTTATTCTGTTGTAAATCTTCTTTTAAACAAAAACAATGGCTATTTTTGCCCACCAGTCTACACTCACTAACCCGCTGTAGGACTCAGGAGGATAAAGCTCTAGTCGCTGCTTCTCCAACGTGGTGAAGTAAGGGTGTGAATATTTCGGTAAAGCAACAACCGGGGCTGAGTGGCACCTACCTGTTGTATAAGGTGCATGCATTTGGTCGACTGCACTCCGTATGCATTGTTAACTATGTGGGGAATATTATATTTGGCACACATAGCAGCCAGCTCTTCAAGCCTGCAAGACAACAAGTGCACTTTTGAGAATGGAACACATTTATATAAATGTTCCCTTTAAACATCTCCTAATCCTACTCTGACACCTAGAAAAGCCTAAGCCCATGAATGAAAGCATGTCTCACCTGTCAGGGACTCGTGGGGCGAAGCAGGATGTTGTCGAATGAACACACAGGATGTTCTCGGCTCCAAGCTCCTCTATCTTACGTTCGACTGCTTCCAAGTTTGTCCGCAGCTCATCTCCTTCAAGAGCGTTCTCCACCACCACCGGTTCAAACCCTGATAAATAAGTCTGATATGAGTAGGAGACAGAGAAAGCCCTCGGCTGTGACTGTACGAGGCAGAAGCACACTTCTAATTAGCACAAGGATGTTGGATGGTTGGATTCATTTAACAGTGCCAACAAAAAGAAAAATGTAGCCTGCCGTGACATAATTAAGACACCATTTCAGGCTTTTGAGCATGTCTGAGGCTCTAGCTGCAGCTATACTCCAAACATCAGTCTGGATTGTGGCCAGGATGTCAGGGTGACAACATCAGATATTACTGTCTTATTATCACCTGCTGTGATCATGGATTTGAAACAGGACTTCTGATCGATGCGAGGCCAAATGATATAGCGAGCCTTGGGTCTCCGATGACGAAGGGTCAGGAAGCACAGAGTCAAGCTCATCCCTGTTGCCATGGGAACGACGAAGCAGGTCGCCACACTCCGAACACCTGTTGTCCAAACAAAACAATTTTCTACTTACACCTAGATGTAAAAACCTGAACTAAAGATACACAGGAGCAGCGCCTTCAGCCACAGCCAACCAGTGTTTGATGTGGGCAGGGATGGTAAAAAACAAGGAAGTACAAACTGCAGTTGGAGAGAGAATGAATGGGGTATACCACCTGTTCTATAGTTATTAAAACCTTTTTGAAAATCACCTTTAAAATGTCCCAATCAAGACATATCCTTCTTTAAGTGCACAGCACTAAAACAGTAACCTTCATTTGAAGGATAACATATACGCACCTGCAAGTTTCAAGATGTCTAACACAACTGAGTTGGTCAGCTTGTTAAGCAGACTGGAGCCTGCAGCTTTGGGCTGAACGGCAGCGATGTCACCGGACCGACCGATGCCATGGATCAACCTAGTGACAACAGCTGAACGTCACAACAGGAAGCAGACATGTGTGGCTAAAACCTAGATCAGTATCAGTGTTTATGTCAGACATTACCTCACAGGAAACTGTAGTATTTGACAAACAAACAAAAAATAAAAACCTTAACTGAAGGTCTACTTACTTAGCTTTTTTCTGGAGCTTTCAAAGGTTTGGAGTTTGTTCAGTTGCCATGGAAACTGCTCCAGCTCCATCCATCGTCACAGACCGTGAGATGCAGGTGAAAGCACCCGAAAAAGCTAGTAAGTGGACCTTGAGCTCAAGAAAGAAACTTTACACTAAATCTAATTGTGCTTTAAGTTCTTTCATCAGCCAAAATATCAGCTGATATACATCATCAGCAGACCAGACTGTTCTCGATAATTTAAAAGATATTAATGTCAGCCTTGAACCTGTAGTGTCGTCGTGCCACCAGGCTGGAGGCCACCCGGCCCTCCCTCTCCCCGACTCCACAGTTGCTGAGAAAGTTATTGCTGTCCATCACAGCCAGCTCATTCAAGAAGAGCTCCACAGTGCTCTCGCTCCAGCCGTCCTCAGGACACTTACCCTGCAAGACATGCAACATGAGGCTGGGTGCATCTGCAGGGACCCTGAGAAAAGGTGAAGTTGCGGACTTTACCTGCTCCAGTAAGTGTCTAATGAGCTGCTCGTGGCTGCGTCGTGCCTGAGACCCCTGTCGAATGTAGGAGGACGACACGAGCTTCTCACTCAGGGCGAAGTTCTCACTGTTCATCTCTGTCAAACACAGAGCTTCTTGTTAACATCACTCTCAAATACTTAAATATATTATTAATGCCTAGGTGTTATGTACTCTATGGTCTGTTCAGCAGTACTGAGTGCAGCTAACAGCTAATGTCTCTTCTTTCAGTGACAACTGATTTTAACTTGTCACAAGCTCCCCAGGTCTCACTGATCGATAATCACTTTTAGTTGGCCAAGTATGTTACGAAATTTGTTTCCGTGTCTTGCCCCAAGGACACTTTGACATGTGGACTACAGGCACCGAGATCCGAACCTCCAACCCTGTGGTTGGGAGACGACTGCTCTACCCACTGAACCACAGTCGCCCCCATTCCTACGTACCAACATTAGGTGGAAGGTGTGACTTGTTAGTTGCCGTTTTACAGATTACAGTGTGATCTGCTCTATAATTAATCACAGTGTGCTATTTTATGTAGATAATTTTGTTTTTCACGTTGTCTTCTGTTTTTAAGCATCTCTTTTTGCCAACTGACCCTCTGAAACACACCATGTGTCATGTCATCATGTACGTCTTCATGTTGTGTATATATAAGATTCTGTCCCTACTCATTGAAACGTTGAATGATTCTTCATCGACCCCTAGTCGTGTAACGGGTGCTTGCATGTATGTACTGTGTTAACACAGGAGTGTGGAAGTACTTGTTAATGTGTGATACCCCGTGGAAGGCAAGTGTGGGGCTGTGTTTTTCTTTTTTCATATTTAAACCATTCACTTTTTTTTTTAGTCACACCCCACCAATGAATGAAGGCCTAGTTTTTCTTCAGTGATTTCTTGTCCAAAATAATCTTAAGTTACTGAAACAAAACCAGAGTGTTGGAAACAGAAAGTATATTTATTTATTTTAACTACTTGATTACCAGTCCCTTGTAACCTCTATGTTCAGCGGTCAGTTCATTAGGTAAACAAAGCTAAATCTAAGTCAGTCTAACCCAAGAGTTGACAGTGTTCAGCTTGTGTTCAAGCTGTGTGATCAGTTCGGAGGTTTGACTCTGTGCTGCAGCTGAACTTTGCTCCCCTGTGTTATGTGGCCTACCACAATTACAGTCTATCCTTAAAGTTAAATGGCAAAATAGACTATTTTAGCTCAAAAGAATCACAAACAGCCTCCAAAATGATCACACAGTTAAATTAACAGCATGAACATGATCACCTTCATGAAGGAGGATTTATTGTAGGAGTTTTGGTTTACACTGATCTAGTTTTTGATCTAGGTGTAGCAAACAATATAACAGTAACGTCCATGTTTCTCTGTAACCTGCCAGGTTTTAGGTTTGTCTGCTACCTTCATATACTCAGCCAAGGTTAAACAGCAGAGCATCACAGAACACCAGAGAAAGGAAACGTGTTGAACAGCTTCCTCCTAACCACAACAGCTGTCAACCAAAGGCGGCTCTGTTTTAGCTGGAAGCATGTTGTCATGCTCATGAACTGTCGCCTGATGCTGCTAACCTCGGCATTGGGGTAGCTCCGCTAAGCTAAGCTAAGCTAAGCTAAGCTAATGTTTTCACGCAAAGAGCGAGGACGTGTCTCTTCAGCAAGCAGATGGATTCCGTGTTTACTTACGCTTACCTCCGTTTCAAACCACCTCCAAAATAGCTACAGGTATGAAGACAGAGAGACAACAGCAAGAGGAGGCAGCATAGAGACGCAGTACTAGTGACGGCGCTTCGTCACCACGTCACATGACCACTGAGCGCTGGTCATGTGACCAGGTCGACTCGTAATTCACAACTCCGTTTAGTTCTGTTTTTAAAGTTTTTAAAAGCCACATAATTGTGTAAAACATAAATATAACTTTAAGTTCACTGTATCTAAATTATTCTACCATTATTGAATTGTTAAGCTGATAACCTACTGGCAAATTTCACGTAGATTGCTTATATTGTAAATATAATAATAAATGTGAATTCACTGTTTACTTGTATGCAACTTTATTAGCAGCTTCCTCGTAACACAGTTTTCAGTGCTGTGGTGGCGATCTCAGGGTATTCTGTCATGACTTTAATCCAGAACACCGACAGAGTTGTTGTCTCGAACATACTTTTAAGGCCGCCGTCATTTGCGATCTCCAGCAGTTGATCTTCTTCTTGCACAGACCTGCTGGATTCACCTGGTTTGTTGACAAATGGGTTGCGGATCCATTCCTTGGCAGTTCGTGGGTCCTTTGTGGTTGGGAAGTAGCGCTCGAACTCTTTTAAAAGCAAAGACAGGTGATCGTGCACCAGCTGGGAGAATGAAGGCTCAGGCTCAGTCTCACCCAAAATCCCCGCTAATGTTTGAAACATGTCCAAAATGCCTCTGTTGACGCGCCGTCCCCACAAATCCAGTTTGGCTTTAAATGCAGCTACTTTATTTGCCAACTTGAAGGCAGTTATCATTTTCCCCTGAAGTGACAGATTGAGTTCATTGAGCAGGCTGAATATGTCCACAAGTAAGCCAGTTTTGGCGCTCAAGTGACCGAGATGTAACCGAGAGAATGCGGTCATTTTTCAAAATAAAAGATCGTTCAGACTCAGATAATAAATAAAACGGTAATAATTAATCATTTCTTGTACGGCCCGGTACCAATTGATCCACGGACCGGTACCGGTCCGCGGCCCGGGGGTTGGGGACCACTGTTTTAAAGTGTTTGCTACGATTCTGGATTTGCGTTGAACGTGCATAAATTATCTTAGGCTATATTTTAAAGCAATTATGTTTTATGAATAATTTTGTGAGAATAAAAATGAGAGAGAATTACCACACTGTGGCATTTAACAATATTGTACAATCACAATATTAATACAGTAATGAAGCTTCACAAAATAGAGCTTGTTTTTTTTATCTCTTAAGTCATTTTTATTAGGCTATAATCATCTGAAATAGCATATTATGTGAACAATAGCAAAAAAAAATAGGTAATGTACTATGTAACTAGTAAAGGTCCTAAAGTACATACAGTAAGAAACAGTCAAAATGTAGTTTTGAAAGTAAAAGTCATTATAACACAGAACGGCTTCTTTCGGAGGGTTACAGTATTAGAAAATGATGCAATGTAATATAATGAAAATGTAATGTCAAATGAAAGCAGTTCAGTAGTTTAGGCACGTACAACAAAATCAAAATGCTTTAATTTGCTGTCATTATGCTCATATAGCAACACGTGATATTTGTGAGAAAAAAAAACATATTTATATTGCAATATGTCAGATCTATGCAAAAAATTAAAATATTACATTTATTTTACATCTTCTGTTCTGCATCACACCCGGAAAAACTTTAACAACTTAATGTAGTAGTAAAACAAATTCCTTGGCATTATTAATTTTCACAATGTAATTTAAAATTTTAAATAACAGTATTATATCAAGATATGATTCCTTTGACATTCAATAAAAATATTTTAATTGAATTAGTGTCAATTAGTGCTTTTTAAACAATATTATTTAAAAAGCACTAATTGACACTGTTTATTTTAGTAAACACTGACTGTAATTCTGTAGGCTGTAGCCCATAAAGCCAGTCACACGTTGTTTGTCATATACAGGCAGATTATTTTAAATTTATTGCATTATTCTACACTTAACATACACAAGGATGAACAGGGTTTAACGTGGTTAATATGTAAGCAAATATAAAACCAAACTACACAGTTACAAGACCACATAGGTTTTCTGGAGGACCTTTCCTGCGCCATATCTCCTTGAAGACGTTTTAAACCTCCTGAAAGGTTTTGCTGCAAAGGGGAGAGAAAAATGGCAATTTGATGGCATAGCAGGGCTTTCAACTCAACAGCTATGCCAACATCTTGCCTTCTTTCCTGGACCCATGTTCAAACACTCTGTGGATGTTTTTCACGGCCCATTCGTAAAAACGTGCCCAGGTTCAGACGCGTCCCGGAGCTCCAGGGTGAAAGATCCATGCATGGCTCTTCAAACTGTAAAGCGAGAAGAGAAGCGCGCAGCCATGTGTTCATCCAACAGGTTTGTGTGTTTGTTAATTAAAGATCATTCCAGCTAAAAATAATTGTATTTTTCAAAGTATATTATTAGCTTTTTTTTACGTTCCCAAAACAATAAAACAAACACTCATCCAACTGGCATTTAAATAGACGTGGCATCGTCTCACAGGAAGTTACAGGTCGATCACAATATAAAAGTACTGAGAGAAGGCAAACTAATTTAGTGGACAGGCTAATAATCAAACAACCGTAGGTCTAGTCCTTCCCGCCTCTTTACCCTATAGGTGTATCATCACGTCTACCTGTTGAGGCGGGTGAAATAGGAATTCCCATATGCAGCCTCCAGCCCGCTCGTTGTCCCAGATCCGTGCGTCTTGGCACCAGACGTCAGCAGAATGAAAGTAGGCAGAGGGTGGAAGAGAAAAGTCTGCCTTCCACCGCCCACTTCAGTGTCAGGCAGTGGATGACTGGAGCATTTCGCGGTGCCAGAGGTGTGTTTGGGGATCGGCTGGACCGCTGTGACGTGGCTTCTTGCACCTTTGCGCGCTGACAAGGAATTCCATTGGCCTAATTCCGAAGGGGACACCCTCCCGAGGAAACTAATTCACGAAGCTCCTATCAGGAGTGCCACCTATAAAATATGTCTGAATAGTGTACGTGATACTGTCCTATAGAAATTGGCTGTTAGGTGCCGTAGGAGTTCATTTAAATAATCACTGAAGGACCTATTGTCTAATGACCAACAGACCTGGTATAAAACTACTGTCAGTCTACTCTATAAAATTACCATAATTACCAAAATACTGCTTTGCTCACACATTAACTAAATGGATGAGGTAAAGCCAAACGTGTACACTCCCAGTCCCAGTGGCCGATCCACACACACAGACACAAAACATGACTACAGCATCTGGTTCATTTATGAATCACACAGTGATTCAAAATCGTCTAGACCAAACTAGAGGCAGGAAACGTCATTTTATGAGAAAACGTTTTATGACCCTTTAGTATTAGCTCTCCCATGAAAACAGTGTGGAGATGTGGAGAGCCTCTCATGGAAGATCATCATTGAAATGTGGGTGTTTTAAATTGCTGATTCATGATGGTGAACAGTCACCAGCAGAAGAAAGAGCATCTGTGTCCTACCACCAAAGTACCACCAGTGTGGACAAAATAACAGCAACACCTGTTGGGATAATGCAGCACAAACAGCAGCCTCTCTGAACACAAAGGGAACATTATCAGCATCAACTATCCAGCTTCATCTTAAAGCACTGACTAACCACGGTTTGTTCTTCACTGTGTATATAAAAGACGTAGCACAACACTAACAACGACATTATTGTCTTAGTTTACATTTTTGTGAGAGTAGTTCACAGTCACTGATCAGACGGTTTTAGACCAGTCCTCATGTCAAATGACTCTAAGCTGATGAACAAGATGTTTGAGAGACCTGAAGTTGACACATATGCACTCATGACTCACTTGCTAAGGTGTCAACACTGGCCACACCTGTCAACTCCCACAGAGTAAATACGCTAATGTAAAAAGACAATAAGAGAACCTGACAGGGTTAATGTTTCCATTACGAATAGTACGCATTTGTTTATCATGGTAACCACATTGTAAACAGAAAGTGAGGGGGTATAATCAATGTGAAGAAGTTTAGTTTGGCTTTCATTCAAACAGGTAGGCTCAGGACTACACGTTTAAAGAAGAGTTAGCAAGAAGCAGCATGGACTAACATGGAAACCTGCAGGTAAACGACACCTGTAACAAGGCAAGGATAAAATAAGTCTATACCTGTCTAAGAAATCCATTAGGATAACGTATGGCACTTACTTTGATGTAAAACTCAGATGCCTTTGCTAAAGAATCACATAAAGCTCAGCATGTCATCACAGGCCCAGCTGCTCGTACGCTGAGCTGTGTGGTACATATTTTCATTTTTCACTAACTTTACCAGTATGCATTTGACGCCATCAGGTTAACAGTAAGTCATAGCTCGGGACAGAGGTTTTACACATGACCTCAAAGTGAACAAACAACCCTGTTTAGAAACATCTAAGAATGAAGCACATAACACACAGACTGTACAGTTATGACAGCGAAAGAATTCATGTGCCTGTGACTTTGCTGCAGGGCAGATGTAAAGGTTTGTCTGGTTGTGATCAGATAAATGAAAGGTCAGAGGTTTATCAGCATAAGAACTGCTTTTTATTTGTTTGTTTATTGCTAATTTAAAATATTTAAAATGTGAAAATGGCATTTTATTCCTACAAAAACTACATGGAGTTAAATTATTATTGCTGTTTATTTTCTTATATGTATTTAACATTTATTTTTATAAGGACAAGTGTAAAGCATGGACAAGTGCCACATACTGTACCACGACACTGATAGCTTCTAGTTCCTACATGAACATTTATACAAATACACGGCATAAAATACAACCAGTAATATGATCACACAGTGCAGTGACAAGCGCCAGACTGCTCATGATCACGACTATTCACTCTTTAAAAGCTGTTCAAACTTATGTTTAAATGATTCTAGTGGTGACCCATGATGAATTCTACAGTGGCACATTTCACACTGGTCAATTTATTATTTATTTGGTGTTTTTCTACAGTGTCTGCCTTAGTTTGAAATGCCATCATGCATATCAACTTGTATGTCCACCACTGTACAGTACATCATTTTGACTTTAGTTGACCATTTAATTCAAGGTGAGACTGTGCAGCAGCTGTTGTCAAAAAGCGGCCAG